GCAGAGCGCGCCGCGCGGGCGAAGAGGCTCTAGCGTGAGGAGGGTGAGGGCTACGTCATCTAGCCGTTGCAGGTGGGTGGTTTCGAGCCCACGTCATTCAAGGGCTTGGCAAATAATAAGAGTGTTGGGAGAGTGAAGGGGGGCATGAGAAAATGGAGGAGGGGCGGGAGTGATGGGCTGTGAGAGTGAAGGAGAGGGAATAGAGGAGGGTATGCTTCTTAGGTAGTGGAGGAGGATTTATTTTCTTTTGTATTAATCGCACTTGCATGTTGTTAAATTATCAGGGGCTCTGTTGAAAGTTTAGGTTATTACAAAAACGCAATTGAAGGCCAGGGGTAGAGAGTGAGAGGCGTGCGAAATTTAATAATTAATTTGTCAGCTCAGATAAATGGGACAAATAAAGTCGAATTAATTCATTATAATAAAGAGAGATGGGCGAGGGAGCCCGGCCGGCGCCCGCCCCTCCCCTGCCCTCCCCTCGGGCCGAATTGATTACAGCTCTGTATTCAGCAACACGCGCCGCGCACATTCCTCCCCGCGAACCCGGCGGAGGACGCGGCGCTCACGGCGACGGGGCGAAATCGAGTCGGACGGACAGAGTTTACATTTAGTATTTATAGAGAAAGAAATTAAATTATGGCGAAAAGTACTGCTCTTGGCCCCTGACCTCGGAATTAATACTCGTAGCATTTTCCTCGCGCGCGCCGGGTGGGGGTAGGGTGGGGTGGGGTGGGGGGTAGGGTGGAGGCGGGGCGGGTAAGGTCCCGAATTCCAAGCCACCCCGCGGCCTCCGCCAGCCGTCCGCCTGCCCCCAGCCCCTGCACCTCTGCCTCCTCTCGAACAATGAGACAGGGCAAGGCAACCCCGTCGTCGTCGGTGCGGCCCAGGGCACACTCAATAAAGCACGAGGGCTGGGCTGCGCGTTCAGGGCCTCCGGGCTGCCGCCGGCGGGGCCTTGTGTGCACCTCTGCTGACCAGGACAGGCGCGCCGGGCTGGCCCACAGACACGCGGCTTCAGCCCTACCCTTCCCTGCGCTCCGGCTTTGGGCCGGTCCAAGCCACTCGCACTAGAGGCCAACTTGTCTGTCCCCTTGCCCTGGGGCGAGAGGCTGCGGCCGCCGGCCCCCAGGACGGGCCGTTGGAGGCCCAGGAGCTCCTGCCTCCCGGACTCCAGCTCGGCCCCGGGACTGGGGCTGCGGCAAAATGCACCCTCCTCAGTGGCAAACTTTTTACAAAAGATTGTATATATATGTCTCCAATGATTGCCTTCCCTCCTGCCCACGGTCCTAATTTGCTGCTTATTTAAGAATATGTCCTTTAATGATTTAGCTTTAAGTCTATCAATATTTTATAGTGGAGAAGGGAGTGACAGACACTTCTCTGAGAACATAATTTAATTATAATTAATGGGTTGAGTACCTGGGCCCTATTCTTCAGAGGCCGAGTCAAAGGGAGATGTATTTATTTTTTTCATTGCTGTGTCGGGGGCCTGATTGGCTGCCACCCCCAAAGTTACTTTTCCCTCCTCCCCAGCCCGGTGCCCCGGTTTCCCGGAGTGTGTGTGTGTGTGGGGGGGGGGATCAGGGTGTCTCCATAGCCGCCCCCCACCTCTGTTTCTACAGCCCCGGCGGCAGCCAGTCGGAGAGGGCATTAATTACGCCTTTTTATTGACAGGGCGCTCCATTCTGTCGGAGCCGCTCTCTTTTGGAGTCGCCTCCTCCCACCCCACCCCCCGCCCCCTCCGCTCCTTCCTCTTCCTCCTCCCTTTCCTTCCTCCTCTCCCCCGCAGCCTGGAGCCCGAGAGGAGATGAGAAGCCCTTGTAGTTTTAAATTCAATGTGACAGTTTCGGAAAGAGCGGATGATGAATCTCCTATTATTGGATCAGTCTATTTGCCGCTCAATGTCTCTCTGTAATTGGAGCAACATCACTTTAAAGGTTCAGAGAGTACAGCATTTCTGGTGAAAAATCCCCACAACACGCCGGTGAATGTTTTAAAGGGAAATCTATTAGTGATTTGCAGAGGGGCGGGGAGCCCGCGGCGGGGGAGGCGCGGGCTCCGGCCAGCGGGGACTGGAGTGGGGGGCTCGCCGGGGACCCCTGCCTGGACCGCTCCCGAGCCGGCGCCCGCCCTGCGCCCGGCCGCGCCCCTCCCTCTCTGCCGCCCCCCCCTTGTTGTGACAGTTCCTGATACTGTTTATTGAGGTGCATGTCAGGTATAATTAGCAATCGATATGGAAAACGTTTCCTTGCACCCAGCACGCCTCTGACGTCAGAGCCGATTAGCGCTTCTTATTGGTCCCAAATTCCCCGGGCCGCGGCTAATTATCGGGAGCTTGATGTTGATAAAGTAAAGCGCCGGAGTGCGGGCGAAGCATGTGTAGGGCTCCGGGTCCCTGTCTCCGCCGCCGCCGCCGTCCGCGCCTCCCGCCGCTGGCCCGCCCCGGCCCCGGCCCGCGCCCCCGCGCCCCGCCGCCGGCCCCGCCGGCCCCCCGCGCGAGATGATGGACGGCCGCCTCCTGGAGCACCCGCATGCCCAGTTCGGGGGCTCGCTGGGCGGCGTGGTGGGCTTCCCCTACCCGCTGGGCCACCACCACGTGTACGAGCTGGCCGGCCACCAGCTGCAGTCGGCCGCCGCCGCCGCCGCCGCCGCCTCGGTGCCCTTCTCCATCGACGGCCTGCTCAGCGGCTCGTGCGCCGCCGCCGCCGCCTCGGTGGTCAACCCCACGCCGCTGCTGCCGGCCGCCTGCGGGGTGGGAGGCGACAGCCAGCCCTTCAAGCTGTCAGGTAGGCGAGGCGGGCGCGGAGGGGTGGGCAGTAGGGCACCCTCGTCGGGCGCACGAGCTGGGGCGCGGGCGGCTGCAGGACGGGCACCGGCTGCCCAGGCTCAGGGCAGGCTCGGGCTGCCACCCCGGCGCAGGGCGCCCAGACCCCGGCGGCCCGCAGGTACGGAGGGGATGGATGCGGCTGGGGCCCTGGGCCCTGGCTGAGCCCTGCGGCGTCCTCTGCGTGCCCGCAGACTCGGGGGACCCCGACAAGGAGAGCCCGGGCTGTAAGCGGCGGCGCACCCGCACCAACTTCACCGGCTGGCAGCTGGAGGAGCTGGAGAAGGCGTTCAACGAGAGCCACTATCCCGACGTGTTCATGCGCGAGGCGCTGGCGCTGCGCCTGGATCTGGTCGAGTCCCGAGTGCAGGTAAAGACCCGCCGCAGTTCCTCCCCGGAGCCAGCCTCCCGCAGCTAGGCCTGCCCGGCGCCGGCCCCGCCTTTGTTCTAGGTGGGGGACCGCGGCCCCGCGGCCGAGCCCGCCTCGCGCTCGCCGGCCCGGAGGTGGTGCTGGGGTTCTGGGGCTCAGCACCTCGCGGGGAGCAGGCCCCAGGCGGTTTGGGAGGGGGCCGACCACAGCCGCCAAGTAGCCAGAACAGCAGCTGCGTCTGAACCGGGGAGCTGCGTGGTGGGGGTCGGGCGACGTCGCGACACGAGGTCTCAGAGGGCTGGGCAGGAACAGCGGCCCAGGGGTGGGATGGGGGGCGCCAGCCGGGCTGGGATCTTGGAGAGACCTGGAGCAGTTAGACCCGGCGCCTCCTGACCCTTGCGGGGAATCTTGGTGCACCGGCCCGGAGCAAACGCGTTTGTTTGTTTACCTCTTGCCTCTAAAATATTCAGATGGAGACCTGTATTTATTCTTGGCTTTGCACAAGGAGGCTAGCTGAGGAAGAGGAGGCCGAAACTTAACAGTTAACAAATTGGGGGCAAAGGTTTTTGAATCTTTGATATACTCTCCGTTATATCTCCCCAATCCCACCCCCCCACACACACCATACTTTGATTTCATTTCGAGACTGCTGGCGTTATTCTTTAAAAAAAAAAATACAGCATCAATTTGGTGGATTAAAAATTCAAGAAGAAGTGTGCACACTCACATGTTTCCCTGAAGTACAGAAATCTTTTTTTTCTGGGGTCGGGATGGTGGAGAGTGGGGTATGCGGCTGCAGCGGTAGGTGCACGGCTTTGAGGCAGAGGTCGGCTCGACGCCTGTTTGGCATCAACAGCTTTGTCTAAAAAGGTGTTCTCTACCTGTGCTTGCACTGCCCCTCATGACCTCTTCTGTTTGCAAATCCTTTCATCCAATTCTTATACGTGTCAAGTGAAAACCTCTTCGTTTCTCCCCTGTACGATAATGAGCATTTCTTGGTGACAAGTGAGCATGGAATTTACACCAAAAAAAAAAAAAAAAAACACCCAAAAACCCAGAAGTATTGGAAGGAAGGAAGGAAGGAAGGAAGGAAGGAAGGAAGGAAGGAGTGAGTTACAGCCTTGGAGAGGTTGGCACCAGCAAGGCTCCCTGTGACCAGCCCGGGCCTGCTATTGTGCGGGGTCTCTCCGCGGCCACAACAAAGAATTGGAATTATCGCGCTCTCTTGGGGAGGGTGGTGTGCCTAAGGCCCATCAGGGACTTGACTGTGTGTGTGTGTGTGTGTGTGTGTGTGTGTGTGTGTGTGTGCTGTGGGGGAGCTGGTGTCTAGGGCCGCTGCTCCTCAGGACAAGGCCGGCAGGGAGGATAGGAGAGGCTACCTGGGCCCAGGCCTCTTCTGCGTGGCCTAGCAGCTGGCCTCTTGCTCCCCTGTTTGTCTCCCCCACTGGCCTAAGCCAGGCACAACTGGTTTCAGGGGGTGTGTTGGTGCCCTGGCCTGGAGCCCCTAGAAAGAAGGACGTGTGCGAGTGCGTTGGGGGGGCAGGCCGCTGGAAAACCTCCCCCTAAGTTCGGCTTCCCAGGACCTTCTAGAAGAAGAAGCACCCAGATTTCCCTTCACGGGAAAGCCCAAAATCTGGCCTTTGACTCAGTCTCCAGGGGGCCGAAGACAGGTGTGGAGGGCAGCTGAGCCCAGCCACTGGTGGTCCTCAGGCCAGACGGTCAGCACCAGGCCAGGCAGGCCGCTTAGAACAGGAGCTGTGAGAAGCCAAGAGGGGCGAGGAGGGGCCCTGCTCCCTGCCTGCCTCCCGACCGGGAACCAGACGCCCTCAGGGGCCAGACCCGCGGAGCCCAAGGAAGGGGCAGCTCCCAGTTTCCCGAGGTGAGAAGCCAGAGTGGGAAGCCGGCCGAGAGGCCCCATCTACCTCCTTCTGGGTGGAAAAGATGCTCTCTGGAACCTTCAGCTTGAGTGCCGAAAGCCAGCTCAGGGCCGGCCGGCTGCGTGCCTTGGCTCCCAACCCCTGGCCGGAGCCGGAGCCGGGGGGCAAGGCCCGTCTGGGGGGAGCGGGGAGGCCCGAAGCCCCAGCGGCAAGCCTGCTGCCTGACTGTACCTTCCTTTCCCCTATCCGGCTGCTCTAGGTCTGGTTCCAAAACCGCCGGGCCAAGTGGAGGAAGAAGGAGAACACGAAGAAGGGGCCGGGGCGGCCGGCTCACAACTCACACCCGACCACGTGCAGTGGCGAACCAATGGACCCAGAGGAGATCGCGCGCAAGGAACTCGAGAAGATGGAGAAGAAGAAGCGCAAGCACGAGAAGAAGCTGCTGAAGAGCCAGAGCCGCCACCTGCACTCGCCTGGCGGCTTGTCCCTGCACAGCGCGCCCAGCTCGGACAGCGACAGCGGCGGCGGCGGCCTGTCCCCGGAGCCGCCCGAGCCGCCGCCTCCCGCCGCCGCGGCCAAGGGCCCTAGCGCGCCCGCCGCTGGCGCCCCCGGCTCCGCGCCCGCACCGCCGGGAGAACCGCCCGCGCCGGGCACCTGCGACCCCGCCTTTTACCCGAGCCAAAGAAGCGGCGCCGGCCCGCAGCTGCGGCTGGGCCGCCCCGCGGACAAGGACGCGGCCCCGTGTGCGTCCGGGGCGGCGGCGGAACGCGGCGCCGCCGGCCTGCCGAAGGCCAGCCCGTTCAGCGTGGAGAGCCTGCTGTCCGACTCGCCGCCGCGCCGGAAAGCCGCCCCCGCCCCCGCCGCCGCCGCCGCCGCCGCCGCCGCCGCGGGGCTGGACTTCGCGCCCGGGCTGCCGTGCGCGCCGCGGACCCTCATTGGCAAGGGCCACTTCCTGCTGTACCCCATCACGCAGCCGCTGGGCTTCCTCGTGCCGCAGGCCGCGCTCAGGGGCGCAGCGGGGCCCGAGCCCGCGCCCAAGGACGCGCCGCCCGCGCCCGCCGCGCCGCCCGCGCCGCCAGCTCAGGCCAGCTTCGGGGCCTTCCCGGGGCCCGGCGGCGCTCCGGACTCGGCCTTCGCGCGCCGCAGCCCCGACGCCGTCGCCTCCCCGGGGGCCCCGACCCCAGCGCCCTTCCGGGACGCGGCGGCGGCGGCCGAGGGCGGCGGCGGCGGCGGCGGCGGCGGGGACCGGGACGGGGCGGATTCGGGCGCCGCCTGCCCCGCGGCCGCGCTGCCGCCCCCCCTCGCGCCGTCGCCCGGGCCAGGCCCTCGAGCTGCCAGCCCCGCCGGGGAGCCGGCCTTGTGCGGGGCCGCAGAGCCAGGCGCCGAGCCCCGACCCAGCGCGCCGGATGGCGAGGAGGTGGACATGGACTGAGGGGCATCGGGGCCGGCGGAGGCGCTCCACCGGCCCTGCCCGCTCACTCAGGCTCGACTCACACAACGAAATCAGGTGATCGGCTTAGAAACACTGCTTTTTCCTCTTTCTTCTGTTTTCTTCCTTTTATTATTATTATTATTTTTTTTTTTTAACGAAAACCGCTGTTATCAATTCGGACCTAGGCAACCACCGCAGGACTTGGGGTGAGACCCTCCTCCTCTCCGGGAGCCAAAAAAAAAAAAAAAAAAAAAAGGAAAAAGAAAAGAAAAAGAAAAAAAGAAAGAAAAGAAAAAAACAAGAAAAAAAACCCATATCCCCCACAAAAACCCACAACGAGAATCCTCAGCCTTGTAAAATGCAAAAATGTCTAAGAATATTTATATATGTACCATTTTTGATAAATAAAGCTGGTCAAACGCAAGCTCTCAGGTCCATCTTTTTCAAATTTCCGAGCGCCCAGAGTGGCCCCTCCTCCCCTCGGTTTTCCACTCCTCTCCCCGCGGGCGGGGCAGGGACGAGGCTCCTCACCTCCCCCGAGGTCCGCGCTTAATGCCTCCTTTTGTGTGCGTGTGTGTTTGTGTTTTCTGATTGAACAAATTTATGCATCCGCAGCTCCCCCTCGCTTGCCCTCCCTCGCGCTCCCCCGCCCACCCGGCGCCACACACACGCGCGCCCCCGCGCGCACCCCCGCGCGCTGGCACACGCCGGGGCGCGAGGCGCGGGGTGACGGAGCCGGGGGCTGCCAGGGCCGGGCCGCTGGGCTCCTGCAGAGTTTTGATATGAAAGTAATTATTTTCCGGTGGCTGCTGCGGGGACTGGGTTTCTTGCCCAAAGGGTTATTATACATTACCGATTTCTAGTGATATGAAATCACATAAACTTCCTACAATAATAGAATTAGCATGAAAGGCTGGGGTGTCAAATTGAAATTGGAGAATAATAGCGCCGGCAGCTGGGGGAGTGCGTGCGCATATTGGAGCGGAGACGCGGAATC